CACTACCTCTTCATCGGCACCCTCAACCCGGGGCTGCAGCGCCTGGCGCGCGGCGACGCCGGCCTCGGTACGTGCGCGCGCGGGGGGACGGGGACGACACTCGGGAGCGCGCCCGGCCCGCGCTGACGCTGTCCCCGTGTCCCGTCCCCCCCCGCCGCAGTGAGCACCTACACCAACGCCTTCGCCTTCACCCAGCTCTGCGGGGTGCTCTGCGCGCCCTGGAACGGACTCATCCTCGACCGGCACAAGCGCGGCAAGGCCCCGCACCCCGACGGTAACCGCCCCCGTCCCGGCGCTGCCACCCCCCCCCCCCCCCCCCCGTGTCCCCGGTTAGGCCGAGCCCTGACGCCGCGGTCCCGCAGGAGCCCTGGGGGCGCTGGCTGACCTGCAGGCGTCGGTGCTGTCGCTGGTGGTGACCGTGGTGCTGGGCCTGCTCTTCTCCATCGCCGCGGCCGTGCCCGTGCTGCCCGTCCAGTTCGGCACCTTCGTGCTGCAGGTGCTCAGCCGCTCCTTCCTCTACGGCGGCAACGCCGCCTTCCTCGCCATCGCGTGAGTGCGGGCACCAGCGGCGCATGGGCACCAAGGGGTGGTGGGGGGCAGCATGGGTGGCGGCAGGGGACAGGGTAGGGGTGGCAGGGGAGAGGGTGATGGGGTCACTGGGATGATGGGGAATAGTGGCAGGGTTGGAGGGGTGGCAGGGGACAGAGTGTTGGGGTCACCGTGGGGGTGGTGGGGCCAGGGAGGGGGTGTCAGGGTGCCGTGGTTCACGGTGACGCGGCGCGTGGCGGCGCAGGTTCCCCCCGCAGCACTTCGGGAAGCTCTATGGCCTGGCCATGGCGCTGTCGGCGCTGGTGGCACTGCTGCAGTACCCCTGCGTGGCGCTGGTGCAGGGACCACTTCAAGGGGACCCCTTCTACGTGAGTGGCTGCCCGGGAGGGGTGGGGGTCCTGCCCCATAGGGAGGTGGAGGTCCTGTCTCATGGGGAATGGGTCTTGACCCATTGAGGGGTGGGGGTCCTGCCCCATAGGGAGGTGGAGGTCCTGTCTCATGGGGAATGGGTCTTGACCCATTGAGGGGTGGGGGTCCTGCCCCATAGAGAGACAGGGGTCCTGTCTCATGGGGAATGGGTCTTGCCCCATAGGGAGATGGGGGTCCTGTCTCATGGGGAATGGGTCTTGCCCCAGAGGGAGATGGGGGTCCTGTCTCATGGGGAATGGGTCTTGCCCCATGGAGGGGTGGGGGGCTGCCCCTTGGGTGGGTCCTGCCCCACAGGGAATGGGGGTCCTGCACCAAGCACTGGGGACCGGGGGGGTCTGTGAGGCTGGCCCAGGGCACCCCTAGGGTAGGGTGAGCACCCCTGACCCTGTGCCCTGACCCGCACAGGTGAACCTGGGGCTCATTGCCGTGGTGCTCCTGGCCTTCGTCAGCCCCGTGGTGGTGGCCCGCGAGTGCCGACACCAAGCCAAGGAGCTGGGGGCTGCTGGCACCCCCCTGGCAGCAGCCCCCGGCACCGAGACCCCAGAGGAGGCGACCCACTGAGCCTCGCACCCCAAAACCCTGTTTTCTATTGGACTTGGGGGAGCTCTGCCCCAGGCTGGGGTGCATTTGGGGGGGAATAAATATCGACGACCCCTCTGCTCACTGGGCAGCACCTCCCACTCCTGGGACTTCTCCAGTGTCTGCTATGGGGTTGGGCATCCGCTGCCCCCAGACCCCTCATGACCCCTCCCCAGCACGGCTTGGAGACTGGGTGCAGTGAGCCAAAGGTTTATTGGGGTGGGGGGTGCAGCCCCCGGTGTGGGGCTGGGGGAGCAGGGGGGTGCTGGGGTCACTGGAGGGCTCAGCACTCTTCCAGGGGGCTCAGCCCTGGCACCCAGCAGCACCCACTGACCCAGGAAGCAGCCCCAGCCCTCCCGGCCACCCTGGGTGGAGATGTGGGAGCCTCAGGGACCTGGGGAAGTGGTGGGGGCCCATGGGAAAGTGGCACCTCAGGGCTTGGGGCACCCTGGGGACATGGGCAGGGCTGGGACACGCAGTGATGGGCACTGGAACACAGGGACACGGCTGGGGCACCCAGGGTGGGCACCGGGGTCAGATGGGGCAGTTGGAGCTTCTTGGGGGTCCCAATGAGTCCTGGGCACCGTGGCCCCAGTGCAAACCTTGGGTGGCCCCTATGGGACACCCCTGGAGCCCAGGGTCCTCCCCACATCCCTGTGCCTGGTGCTAGTGGCCGAGGGAGAAGGTGCCAGAGTCCGTGGATTGCTTGTCCCGGGGGCAGAGGCCCAGCCCCCCGGGGGCCGGCGCCGTGGGGCTGCCCGGGGACTGCGCCATGTCTGCCTCTGGCACCTGGGGGGCAGCGCGTGGGCCTGGGTTAGTCCCTGCCCCATGGCCAGGGCACCGCAGGGGTCAGAGGCACTGCCTGAGCGTGTACCTCCCATCCAGCCCCACACATCCCCCTGTGTGGCCTGACCCAGCCCCATGGCAGCCCCAGCCCCACTGACCTCCTCGAACTTGCGGGCCTTGTAGTGCTCAGCTCCCTTCAGGAAGTTGAGCAGGATGATGTCGCACAGCACCGTGCCCTGGGGTGGTAGTGTTGGGGTGGGGGGGGGGCGCTATGGGGCACCCGCTGACACCCCACAGCCCCCCATGGAGCCAGGCTGGGGCTCTGCTGTGTCTGCACACTGCATGTCTGTGGGGTTCTTCTCCACCACCCCTCCCGATCACTATGGGGCATCACCGCCACCCTGCCCCACACCTATGAGGTGCTCAGGGCATCTCCCAGGCCCCCTCTTATGCACAGGGGGGCTCCCCCCACCACCCAGGGAGATGCTGCCACGAAGGGGCTGAGAACGGCCACAACTCACCACACCGATGGAGGTGAACGCTGCCACCGTGTTGATGAGGGTGGGGATGATGCCGAACTTCCCGGCCTGGGGGTGCAGAGATCCCGTTGGTGGGGGGCTCCAACCCCCCCCAGCCCTCCCCATGGCCTCCCTGGCCCAACACGCACATGGCCGTACACCAGCACGTCAAAGCGGATGCCGAAGGCTTTGGTGAGGGTGCGGCGCTCGGGGCCGTCCTGGCAGTGGTGGTACCGGGCATGCCTGCGTGGGGACACGGCCGTGGGGCACACGTGTGGCACTCACGCGTTCCGGCGCCGGCCCGTGCCGTACCTGAAGTTGTAGCCGGTGGCGTGGGACAGCCCGTCCAGGCGGGTGAAGGAGTAGTGGGGCAGGCAGCGCTCTCCACCGCGGTCCAGGTCGCAAACCCACCCGATCTTGATGGCCAGCACCCCCCCCTGCGCCACCGCGCGGGGCCAGCATCACCCCATGGGTGTCCATGCAGACCCATGGCCCTCACCCCTGTGTCCCCCAAGACATCTCTGTGTCTCCATGTCTCTCTGTCCTCCATCCCATATCCTGTGTCCTCCATCCCAAACCCTGTGTACCCACACCCGTGTTCCTCTGTGACCCCATGTCCCAATGTCCTCACATCCAACTCCCTACATCCCACATCCCTGTGTCCCTGTATCCCGCATCCCACGTCCCCATGCCCTTATGTCCCACTTCCCCATGTGTCTCATGTCCCCACATCCCTCATCCCTGTGTCCCCATGTCCCCTGCCCCAAACCCCTGTATCCCTGCATCCCACATCCCTGTGTCCCCACACCCTATGTTCCTCTGTCCCATATCCTCATGCCCACCCGCCATGTCCCCACATCCTCCATCCCACATACCCGTGTCCCCATATCCCGCGTCTTTGTGACCCCACGCCCCACTCGCTGTGCCCTGTGGCCCGTGTCCCCCTGCCCCACGGCCCCGGCGCGGCTCACGGTGGAGGCCAGCGTGCGGAAGTCCTGCCCCGCGAGCCGCACCACGTCCCCGAGGCGCAGGATGGGGCAGAGCGGTTGGAGCTGCGGGTGGAAGCGGCAGCGCCCCAGGTCCCCCCCGGCGCCGGGCGGGGGGAGGTTGGCCCTGGGGGGGACGCGGCCGTGAGGCGGCGCCGGGGGGGTGGCTCCGCGGCCCGGCCCGGCCCCTGGGCACCCACTTCTCGAAGCCGAAGAGTGGGAAGCGGATGCTGTTCTTGATGAAGAGGGTGAAGTTCTCGGCCTCCAGCATGATGGGGCTGGGGGGGACAACGGGGTGGCCCTGGGCACGCGGCGGGGGCACACGCACCCCCGTGCACCCCGTGTCCCCCCGCGTCCCCGTCACTCACACGTCCACCGTGTCCACCTCGGGCGGGCACCAGCCCCGGATCTCGCAGGTGCGCAGGGTCTCGTTGTAGGGCACGCACCGGCCGGTGAGCAGCCCTGCGGAGCACCCATAGGTGCGCTGAGCCGGCGGTCTCAGCCCCAGCACCCATGGGTGCACGGAGGGAGGCGGCCTCAGCCCATGGGTGCGCTGAGCGGGCTGTCCTCGGCTCCCCGTCCCTCACCGCTGCCGCTGGTGGGGCTCCTGTCGCGGCAGTCGCGGTCGCTGCGGCACCGGAACGCGGCTTCGCTCTGTGGGGCGGTGATGAGCGGGGGGGGGCGCTGTCACCCCAATGCCGCCCCCCCTCTGCCCCCGCAGCCCCGCACCTCGGGGCAGAGCCCCTGCGCCTGCTGCTCCGTCAGGATCTGCTTGGTGACCACCACGAACACGGAGGTGCCCTGCGGGGACGGCACCGTTACCCCCAGTGCCCGGGGAAAGGGGGGGGTGCGGGGTGGGGTGGGATGGGGGGGTCCCGCGGCCTCACCTGGGGGGGGGTGACGTAGTCGGCCGTGTCCAGCACGCGCCCCGCATAGCTCCCGATGCCCTTCACCTTGGTGACCACCGAGGACTCGATGACGGTGTCCCGCACCTGGTAGGCTTTCTCATGGAGGAACACCCAGCTGGGACAGCACCCGCGGGGACGGTGACGGCGGGGACGGGCTCCCCGGCACCCCCCGACAGCCCCCGGCAACCCCCGACATCCCCCGGCACCCCCCGACAGCCGCCGGCACCCCCCGACAGCCGCCGGCGCCTTCCGGCAACCCCGGCACGAGTGGCGCAGGGTGCCCCCGACAGGCGCTTGTCACCCGCCCGTGACCTGACGTGGCCGCTGTCACCGCCCGGGGAGCCCCGCTCTGACCCCGTCACCGTCCCCGCTCTCCCGGCTGGCCCCACGGTGGCACCCGCACTGTCACACCTCGTGTCCCCGCGCTGTCGCACGTGTCCCCGCGCTGCCCGGCCCTCCTCCGCCCTGTCCCCGGAGCCCCCCGGGGTCTCACCCGATGAAGTAGGCGAGGATGAGGAGCTGCACGGCGCGGTGCGTGGCGCCCACCACCCAGCTCCTCACCACCACCGACTTGGGCGTCTCGTACGAGAAGAATTGCATCGCCCAGGGCGGGCAGCGGCGCGGGGCCGGCATCGGGGTGCGGGCAGGGACAGGGGACGGGCAGAAAGGGGGTGATGAGGTGGGACGGGCAGGGGACAGGCAGCGAGGGCGGTGTTCAGGCTGTGGGAGCGGGGATGTGGGCAGGGCACGAGCGGGCAGCAGTACAGGCAGCGAGAAGGGTGGTGCAGGCGGGGTAGGCAGCGGAGCGGGCAGGGGTCAGGCGGGGGGTGATGGACGGGCTGTGCCGGCAGCGAGAGGGGTAATGCGGGCAGGGTACGGGCAGGGTACGGGCAGCGGGGCTGGTGCCGAGGCTGCGCGGGCAGGGAGCGGTGCTGCGGGCAGGGTGCAGGCAGCAGCGGCTGGTGCGGGCAGCTCGGGGCGGGACGGGGCGGGGCGGGGCGGGGGCGGGGTCACGGCCGGGGGGGGGGGGATGAGGGGCAGGCGGGGTTCGGGGGGGGGACACCCCCGTGTGTGTACCCGAGCTGGGTCCGGGATGGGGGTGCTGGGGGCGGCGGTGCTGATGTGGGGGTGCCCGGTTTGGGCTGCTCCCCCCCCCCCCCGGTGTTTCTCGGGTGTCCCACTGAGGGCGTCACATTGGGGTGCCGGTTTGGGGGTGCCAGGTCTGTGGGTGCAGGGTTAAGGTGCCCAGTTTGGGGGGTGCCGGTTTGGGGGTGTTCCATTGGGGGTTCCCAGTCTGTGGGTGCCCCATTGAGGGGTGCCTGGTCTGAGGTACCCCACTGTGGGTTCCCGGTCTATGGGTGGCCCCACTAGGGGGTGCCGGTTTGGGGTGCCCGGCTGCGGGGTGCCCCATTGGGGGGTGCCGGTTTGAGGTGCCCCATTGGGGTTCCCGGTCTGTGAGTGCCAGTCTATGGGTGCCCCACTGGGGGGTGCCCCACGGGGGGTTCCCGGTCTATGGGTGGCCCCACTGTGGGGTGCCGGTTTGGGGTGCCCGGCTGCTGGGTGCCCCATTAGAGGGTGCCGGTTTGAGGTGCCCCATTGGCGGGGTGCCCCACTGGGGCTTCCCGGTCTATGGGTGCCCCATTGAGGGGTGCCGGTTTGGGGTGCCCTGTTTGGGGGGTGCCCCATTGGCGGGTGCCGGTTTGGGGTGCCCGGTTGGGGGTTGCCCCATTGGGGGTGCTCCATTAGGGGGTGCCCGGTTGGGGGGTGCCGGTCTGTGGGTTCCCCATGGGGGAGCCCGGTCCGCCCGGGGCTGACCGTCAACTCTATGGTACCGGGCGTGGCAGGCGCGGCCGGGCGGAGCGGCCGCTCTACCCAGCTCCTCGACCAGCTCTATGGCAGGGCGGGCGCCGAGCGCCGCGTCCTCTCTAGGCGGAGTCCTCCGGGCGCTCTATGGTCTCGCCCCGTTGCCTGGACAGCGCGGTCCTCCGGCAGCGGCGGCCAGAGCGGCTCCTCTCTATGGCGGAAGTGGGGGTGACTTCCGGCGGCAGCGGCGGCCCCGGGGGAGGCTCCGCGTGAGGTTCGTGTTGCGCAGGCGGGAAAGTGGCGGCGGTGCGGGGGGGGGGGAGGGGAGCACCGGGGGGGGGGGGGGAGGAACCGGGAGGGGGGAGGAGGGAGGGGGGGAAACCCGTGGGGGGGGGGAGGGGTAGGCGCGGGGGTGGGGGCCCGGGCATGGGGGGTGAGGCCATGATGGGGGGGGGGGGGGGTGCGGGGGGGGGGTTGAGGTGCGGGGGTGGCACCGGGAGGGGAAGGGCCGGAATGGAGGGGACCGGGGGTGGGGGCGGCACCGGTGATGGGGTGCGGGGGGGGGGGGGCGGGCCCGGTCCGTGGCTGCCCTGGGGCAGGAAGCGGGGCCGGGGGTGTCCGGTCCCCCCCCATCAGAGCGGGTCGGGGGGTCGCGGTCGGGCTCGGGCCCTGCGGAGCCGGGATCCATCCTCCCCCCGCTCCCGCCCCCCCAGCTGCCGGGAGATGCCAGCGCGGGGTAGGCACTGACGGCTCCACGAGCCCCCGGTCCCGGCGCCCGCCATGGCCGACACGCTGGAGTTCAACGAGATCTACCAGGAGGTGAAGGGCTCCATGGTGAGCGCCCGGGGTGCGGCTGGGAACGGAGCTGCAGCAGCTCCCGCGCCCCCCGTGCCTGCTGCGGGGGCTCCGTGGGGCTGGCGCTGGGGCCCAGGGGACGGGGTGGGTGCTGCCGGGTCCCCTGTAACGCAGTGGGGCCTGGGGACAACAAGGGGGGTGCTGAGGGGTGCAGGGCTGGGTTAGGGGGCGCTGCGGTGACAGGGCCGGGGCTCTGCCCCACAGAACGATGGGCGGCTGCGGCTGAGCCGCCAGGGCGTCATCTTCAAGAACAGCAAGACGGGGAAGGTGGACAACATCCAGGCCTCGGAGCTGGCCGAGGGCGTGTGGCGGCGCGTGGCGCTGGGCCACGGCCTCAGGCTGCTCACCAAGAACGGCCACGTCTACAAGTACGACGGGTTCCGGGAGTCGGTGAGTGCCCGGCCCCAGGGGCAGCTCCTCGGGCCCCAGGCCCGTGTGCTGGGTCATGCCCCGGCCCCAGGTGGCAGCAGCCCGTGTGTGGTGGTTTCTGACGCCCCCTCCTTCTGCCCCATCCCAGGAGTTCGATAAGCTCTCGGATTTCTTCAAGGCCCACTATTGCCTGGAGCTGACCGAGAAGGATCTGTGTGTGAAGGGCTGGAACTGGGGCACGGTCAGGTTTGGAGGTGAGTCCTGCTGGAGGGCTCCCACCGGCGTGGCTGTGCCTGCAGTGCCTCAGGCAGCCACCTGCTAGCTTGGGGTGTCCTGGGGACAGTGGAGATGGTGGCAGGATGGAGCCTGGGAGAGCAGGAGATGGCAGATCCAGGGGAGGCAGGGGAGGGGATTCCCTGCAGCAGGGAATGCTCTGTGTAAAGGGAAAGTCAGGGTGGGAGCTGCGAGGTCTGGCAGGTTCTGGGGGAGCCACGGGAGCTGGTGGCCCAGCCCTGTGCCTGGGACCAAGGGAAGATGGGAACAGATGGTTCCTTCCTGTTCATGCCTGATCAGCGCCCATCCCCGGGGCTGCAGCCAGGAGGAGGAAGCCTGGAGATGAGGCAGGGAATGCAGGGGTGATGCAAGCAGGAGAGGAGGGCCAGTGCTGGTGATGGGTCTGGGGCCGCAGTGGGTCAGGTCCCGCTGTGATGGGCGCGTCCCCCGGCGCAGGGCAGCTCCTGTCCTTTGACATCGGGGAGCAGCCGGTGTTCGAGATCCCGCTGAGCAACGTGTCCCAGTGCACCACGGGCAAGAACGAGGTGACGCTGGAGTTCCACCAGAACGATGACGCCGACGTCTCGCTCATGGAGGTTCGCTTCTACGTGCCCCCAACCCAGGAGGACGGCGTGGACCCGGTGGAGGTGAGGGGGCTGTGGGGCTGCTCCGGGGCCACACTGGGGCCAGCTGGGTCCCTCCTCCCCACCACAGCTCCGTCCCCTCGCAGGCCTTCGCCCAGAACGTGCTCTCCAAGGCGGATGTGATTCAGGCCACGGGCGATGCCATCTGCATCTTCCGGGAGCTGCAGTGCTTGACGCCGCGCGGGCGCTACGACATCCGCATCTACCCCACGTTCCTGCACCTGCATGGCAAGACCTTCGACTACAAGATCCCCTACACCACGGTGCTGCGCCTCTTCCTGCTCCCGCACAAGGACCAGCGGCAGATGTTCTTTGTGGTGAGGGGGGCACCGGGGCCTGCCCTGCCCCGGGGAGGGTGGCAACGGGGAGGTGCAGGGGAATCTCAGCTCCTCAACACCTCTTCTCTCCTCAGATCAGCCTGGACCCCCCGATAAAGCAAGGCCAGACCCGTTACCACTTCCTTATTCTGCTCTTCTCCAAGGATGAGGACATTTCCCTGACCCTCAACATGAATGAGTGAGCTCTTCTCCTGCCCGGCCCCTTCCTTGGGCTGGCTCTGGGGCAGCGGGAGGGAGGTGAGGGACCTGCTGTGTTCCTGCTCTCACCACGGCCTTGCGCCTGCACAGGGAGGAGGTGGAGAAACGCTTTGAGGGGCGGCTCACCAAGAACATGTCGGGGTCCCTCTACGAGATGGTCAGCAGGGTCATGAAGGCGCTGGTCAACCGCAAGATCACCGTGCCCGGGAACTTCCAGGGGTGAGGAACGCTGCTGCTGCCGGCCGAGGGACAGGGGGATGTGGGATCTTCCTGCTGTGAGGCAAGTGCCTCATAGGAACATAGCGTGGTTTGGGTTGAAGGGACCCCTTCCACTGGAGCAGCTTGCTCCAAGCCCCTGTGTCCAGCCTGGCCTTGAATGCTGCCAGGGGCAGCCACAGCTTCTCTGGGCACCCTGTGCCAGCGCCTCAGCACCCTCCCAGGGAAGAGCTTCTGCCTAAGAGCTCACCTCAGTCTCCCCTCAGGCAGGTTCAAGCCATTCCTCTTGGCCTGTCCCTCCAGGCCCTTGTCCCAAGCTCCTCTCCAGGTTTCCTGCAGCCCCTTCAGGCACTGGAGCTGCTCTCAGGTCTCCTCAGAGCCCAGCAGAGGGGCAGGATCCCCTCCTTGAGCTGCTGCTCACGCTCTGCTGCAGCCCAGCACACGGCGGAGGTTCTGGGCCCAAGCACTCACTGATGGCTCATGGGGAGCTCCTAGGATGGGAGAGCTGCTGCTCTGGGGGGCTGAGGCCACTGTTTGAGAGCCCTCCCTGGCCCTGGATCTGGCCCCTCTTTCTGTCCATTGCTGTGCTCGGAGGGCGCTGCGTGTGGGGCCAGGAGCAGCCACGGGGCTCTGAGGTGCCGGTCCCCCGTGGGTGCTCAGGGCGGGCCTCCCGCAGGCACTCGGGCGCGCAGTGCATCACCTGCTCGTACAAGGCGAGCTCGGGGCTGCTGTACCCGCTGGAGCGCGGGTTCATCTACGTGCACAAGCCGCCCGTGCACATCCGCTTCGACGAGATCAGCTTCGTCAACTTCGCCCGCGGCACCACCACCACCCGCTCCTTCGACTTCGAGATCGAGACCAAGCAGGGCACGCAGTACACCTTCAGCAGCATCGAGAGGTGGGTGCGGGTCAGGGCACGCTGCCCCAGGCTCTGCTCCCGGCCCTCACCCCCCTGTCCCGCAGGGAGGAGTACGGGAAGCTCTTCGACTTCGTCAATGCCAAGAAGCTGAACATCAAGAACCGCGGCCTGAAGGAGGTACCTGTCCCTGCAGAGCTGCAGCCCCTGCCAGCCTGGGTGCTCTCCCCTCTCGGTTCTGCTCCTTTGCCCTTCTCTTTTGTTAGTTTTCACCTCTCTCTTCTCTCCTTGCCCTTGTAGAGGAAAAAGGTCCGTGCGATACCCCTTCCTCTTTCTCCTCTTCCTCCTCCTGGTGCAGGTTTCCTCTGCATGGCCTGGTGGTGGCCCCTGTTAACCCAATAACTGCAGCATGGTGTGCAAAAGGGGCCCCCAGCTAACTCTGATAACTTTTCTACCTCTTCCTCTGGAGCCTTGCTGAGAGCAGGAGGTCCCTGTCCTCCCTGGTCCTTGCTCCTGGTCGCTGCTCCCAGTCCCTGCTGCAGTGCCCTGCATGGTTGGGGCCATGCCTGCATGGGACACTGGGGGCTGCAGTCCCCAGAGGGGTTGGAGCTGGGCCATGGGGAGGGCTCCTCACGCTGCTCGTCCTGCAGGGGATGAAGCAGAGCTATGATGAATACGCCGACTCGGACGAGGACCAGCACGACGCCTACTTGGAGAGGATGAAGGAGGAGGGCAAGATCCGGGAGGAGAACGCCAACGACAGCAGCGACGGCTCCGGGGAGGAGACGGGTGAGGGGCGCCGGGCTCTGGGTGCTCAGCTGGGGGGAAGCTGAGAGCTGACCCTGTGCTCTGCTTCCAGATGAGTCCTTCAACCCCGGGGAAGAGGACGATGATGTGGCGGAAGAGTGAGTAGGGGCTGGGCCAGTCTCTTGTGGGGGAAGCTTCTGGAAGGTGCTGTGCGGGGCTGCGAGCGCTGGGGATGCTGCAGCCAGCATCACTTTACACACCCCTGGGCCTCAGAGTGTGGGCTCGCTCTATCCTAATGACATTAGAGGGCTCTCAGGGGTTGGAGCAGCACTCAGGGCATCGGGTGGCTCCTGCTGAGGCGTCAGCAGCCAGAGCAGAGAGAGCAGTGGGAGGAGGCGGGGATGAGGCTGGGATGCAGCTTCGAGCTGGGGGAGGGAGGGTGAGAGGCTGCGCTGCACCGGGAGCAGAGCACAGCGAGCACCGAGTGTGCTGCAGGAGCGGGTCCAGCCGGGGGGAGGAGCTGCGGGAGCCGAAACCATGCAGGAGGTGGGGATGGAGCCGTGTTCCTGGAAGGAGGGTCCCTGGGGGCTGCTCAGCACCAGCACAGCAGCTTCGGCGCCGGAAGGCTCCCGCTTACGGGCTGCTGGAGGCGGGGGTTGCTGAGAGCAGGGCCTGGTGCCCCCGGTGCTGCTGCATCCCCCAGCCCTGTGCTGGGCCCCCAGGTTCGACAGCAACGCCTCGGCCACGTCCTCGAGCGGTGACGGCGACAGCGACCACGACGACAAGAAACCAGCCAAGAAAGCCAAGGTGGTGAAAGAGCGCAAGGCCCGCAGGAAACACCCAGAGGTGAGGGGCTGAGGCCCTGCTGCTGCTGCAGCCCAGCCGAGGCCATGCCACAGCCCCTGTGCTGCCCCCTCACCAGCTCCCACCTGCCGGGGCCCAGCCTGGCTCCGCTGCCTCCTGTGGAGGAGTCAGAGTGGTTTGGGTTGGAAGGGACCTTAGAGTTCCTCCAGCTCCACCCCCTGCCACGGGCAGGGACCCCTTCCACTGGAGCAGCTTGCTCCAAGCCCCTGGGTCCAACCTGGCCTTGAACACTGCCAGGGATGGGGCAGCCACAGCTTCTCTGGGCACCCTGTGCCAGCGCCTCAGCACTCTCACGGGGAAGAGCTTCTGCCTAAGAGCTCATCGCAGTCTCCCCTCTGGCAGGTTAAAGCCATTCCCCTTGGCCTGTCCCTACAGGCACCTGTCCAGAGCCCCTCTCCAGCTTTCCTGCAGCCCCTTTAGGCACTGGAGCTGCTCTCAGGTCTCCCCTTCAGGAGCCTTCTCTTGTCCAGGCTGACCCAGCCTGGCTCCAGAGCCTGGAACCTTTCCCAAAGGCCTGTCCTGTCCCTTTGTTTGTTGGGAGCCTGATCTCCCAAGAGCTGGCCCTTTGGTGGCTGTGGGGCGGCCCCACGTCCCCAGAGCTGCAGTGGGTGATGCTGGTTGAGCCTCTCACGCTGGTTCCCTCTGCTCTTGCCTCCCAGAGCAAGAAGGGGAAGGACCCAAACGCGCCGAAGCGGCCGATGTCTGCGTACATGCTGTGGCTGAACGCCAGCCGCGAGCGCATCAAGTCCGACCACCCTGGCATCAGCATCACAGACCTGTCCAAGAAGGCCGGGGAGCTCTGGAAAGCCATGTCCAAGGAGAAGAAAGAGGTGAGGGATGGGGTTCATGGGTTGGTCTGCTGGTGGGGGGAGCCAAGCCTGGCTCAGGATGGAGGATGGATGTGGGAGGGATGGATAAAGGGAAGGTAGACATGGGGAGGACAGAGAGGCCCTTGTTTGGTTGCCAGAACCTGGAGCTCCGTAGATGGGAGGTCAGGAAGGTTCCCATGGCTGTGGGGAGGTGATGGCTTGAGGCTGTTGGTTGAGCACAGGCTTGGTCCAAGGAGGGAGCACAAGAAAGGTGGGTGGTTTGAAGCTCTGTTGATGCCGGAGGAGGGAGCCATTCCCACCATTCCCATGTTCCTGTGGCAGGAGTGGGATCGCAAGGCAGAAGATGCCAGGAGGGACTATGAGAAGGCCATGAAGGAATACAGCGTGGGCAGCAAGGCGGAGAGCTCGAGGGCGTGAGTGCTGGGCTGGGGGAAGCTCCGTGGGGCTGGGCCGAGGGTCGGTGGTAACATCCCCTCCCTCCCACCGTGCACAGGGAGAGGTCCAAGAAGAAGAAGAAGAAGCAGGAGAAGCAGCTGAAGGGGAAAGCGGAGAGGAAAGGCACCAGCTCCAAGTCTCTGTCTTCTAGCAAGTCCTCGGCCAAGAGCTCGAACGAGAGCTTCAAGAGCAAAGAGTTTGTGTCCAGCGACGAGAGCTCCTCCGCCGAGAGCAAGAAGGAGGTGGGGTAGAGCTGGGGCAGCCCCTGCCTCTGGTGGGGACCCTCACCCCAGTCCTGCCATGGGGCTTGCCTGCAGGGCTGGGCAGGGTCCGCACTGGGGATGGCTTCTGTGTGCTACCTCCATGGTAGAAGATGGCTGACCCCGCCATCCCTGCTGTGTGTCCCCGCTGACGCCGCATCCTTGTCCCTTCCCGCAGGACTCAGAGGAGGAGGGAGCCCCCAGCCCCCGCCGCAGCTCCTCAGACTCCGCCTCAGGCTCCGATTGATCCATCCTTGACCCGGGGGGCTCCCAGACCGGGCGCCCACAGCGGGGACCAGCTCCAGGGCCCCCCCATGCCTTCCGGTGCCGGGTGTCCCAGGGGGGTCCCTCCCTCCCAGCCCCGCGGCTCTTTTGTAACTCTCGGCTGGTTCCTCGTTCCCTCCGTTGGGTTTTGTTGTTTTTTTGTATTTTGGGTCTGTTCCCGTGGAAACCGGGATTGAATAAAAAAACCCACCCAGGGTGGGAGCTTGGCTGCAGTGGCACAGCGGGGCGGGGGGGGCCTTCCCTCCTATTCCCATCCCCTTCTGCCCTCTTCCATCACCTTCCATCCCTTCCATTCCCTACTGTCCCCTTTTGCCCCTTTCCACCCCTTCCTTCTTATCCCTATCCATCATCTTCTGCCCCGTTCTGTTCCCTTTCATCCTTTTCCATCCTCTCATAGAACCATAGAGCAGTCAGGGTTGGAAAGGACCTTAAGATCATCCAGTTCTAACCCCCCTGCCATGGGCAGGGACACCTCACACTAAACCATGGCACCCAAGGCTCTGTCCAACCTGGCTTTGAACACTGCCACGGATGGAGCATTCACAACCTCCCTGGACAACCCATTCCAGTGCCTCAGCACCCTCACTGTAAAGAACTTCCTTAGATCCAATCTAACCTTCCCATTTCAGTTTGAACCCATTACCCCTTGTCCTGTCACTACGGTCCTTAGCGAAGAGTCCCTCTCTTTGTCCCTTTCCATCCCCTTTTGTCCCCTTCTGCCTCATTCCTGCTTTGCCCCATTCTGTCCTCTTCTCCTTCCCCTTCTTTTTTTCCCCCTCCTTCTTCCCTTTTCCCTGTTCTGCTTCCTGCTTCCTCACTCTTCCCATTTCCACCTTCTTCCCCATTCCTCCTTCTTCCCCTTCCTTCCCTCTCCCTTTCCTATTTCTTCCTTCTTCCCCTTTCCCCTCTTTTTCCTCTCCTTTTCCCCTTCCCCCCTTTTTCCCTCCCCGCTACCGACCTCTCCCATTGGGATGAACCCGCTTCTGATACCTCCCACCCTGCAGGCGGTGCTCCTCCACCGCGACCCCTCTACCCGCCTCTCTATGGTAATCCCAACCCTCGCCGGGCGCCTCTCTAGCCCGTCTCCTCTATGCGCTCTGCCCGGCCACGCGGCGCGCGTCTGTCCCGCCGCAGCCTCTGATTGGCTGAGGGAGGGGCGAAGGGGCGTGGCCAGCGGCAGTGGGTGAGCGGGGGTCGCTGCGCCGGGATGGGCCTTAACGGGGAACCGGGATACGGGAACCGCCGTTAACCCTTCACCGGGTCCGTTGTGCCCGTCGGGGGCCGAACCCGCGGGGAACTCGCGGGTTCGGCCCCCGAAGGCCGCAACGGGCCCGGTGCCGTCACCTAAATCGAGTGGGGGGCTCCGTTGCCGTGGCAACAGGCCTAGGTCCGCTCGTTGCGGCCTACTCCTGTACTCGAGCGAGGGCTCCGTTTCCGCGGCAGCGGGGATAGGCCGCACCGGAGCGGAGGGGACCCACACCCGGACCCCGGGCCCGATGGTTTCCAGATGTGGGTTGTGACGCCCGGGGAAGGGGGTGGACCCCGGCGGGGAGGGGAGGGCAGGGCCGGGGCCGGGCGGGGAGGAGGCACCGAGCGGGTTTTTCCTGTCCCCGCAGCCCCGGTGAGTCACGGGAGCGGCGGCGGCAGCAGCACCCCCCGTGTCCCCGGCGCACCCCGGACATGCGGCCGCTGCCAGGGAGGTGAGCGGGGCTGAGGGACCCCCGGGGCGGTCGGCACTTGCGGGGGCGGGGGGGGGGGGGGTATTTGGGCTGGGCCAGCGTTTGGGGGGGCGGTTGGAGGGCGCTGGGATGGGCTCGGGGCAGGTAAATGGGGAACGGGGCAGCGTTTGTGGGAGCCGGGGGGGGGGGGGGGCGTGGTTTACTGATGCATGGGGGTTACTGGGGGGTTACCGGGGGTAGGGACAGAGCGGGGTTCGCACGGGGTTTGGGGTCCCGGTGTCGTGGCACAGGCGGCCCGGGGCAGTGAACCAAGGGTGGCACCGGCACAGGGAGGGGTGCGGGATTGGGGCGGTGCTTTGGCACGTGGCCCCGGTGCAGGTGGACACGAGGGTTTGGCCCTAGGAGGTTGGCACCCGGCACAATGTGGCTGCTGTTCACATGGTGCCGCCAGCCTCAGAGCGCCCCAAAACACCTTTTTCCCCTCTCTCTGTCCCCCCAGGGGCTGACCCTGCCCGTGCCCAGCGAGTCCCGGTCCCAGTTTGGCCATGGCCTCGCAGCCGCAGCCCCTGCACCCGGCCCTGCCCTGCACCGCACCCGCGGGCACTGGGGGGCTGGCAGGCGGCAGCCCCGACACAGGTCAGTCCCCATGGGTGGGAGGAACCGGGGGGGGGGGTGTTGCTGTGCTGGGGAGCCCCCAGGGATGCCAGGCTGATGCTGGGGTCTGTTCCCAGCCAGGAGCATCCCATTGGCTCCCTTTGGCCATGGAGCTTCCCCAGCGTGGTGTTTCCTCATTGCCCCACAGGCACTGCCCGGCCCAAGCCCCCACTGCGGCCCAAGCCCCCACTGCGGCCCAAGCCGGTCGTGCCCACCAAGACCCCTCTGCCGCCACCGGGCCCGCGGCACCCGCGCCCTGAGCTGCCCTCGGCAGAGAAGATGAACCGCCTGGCTGGGCCCCAGCCCTACGGCACCGGCAGTGCGGGGGGGCCCCTCCGCCGGCCCTCCTTTACCATCAAGTCCCCCCATCAAGAGCCCCCCACTGAGAAGGGGCTGACCTCCCCTGCAGCAGCAGCTGGGGAGGCCATGGGAGCGACCCCCGGTGAGGAGTCCCCCCTGCCGCTGACCCCCTCCCGCAAGGGCCCGGCGCCCTTCAAGGTGACGCCGGTGCCAGTGGCCACCAAACCGGAGCGGTTCCCATGCACCACCGTGGAGCAGATCTTGGCCAAGATGGACACCAGGGAGGGCCCAGGGAGCCCCGACCGAGCCCGGCTCTGCCCCGACCCCTCCTTGCGCTTCGGCTCCAAGCCCTTCACCGCCTTTCGGAGGCGCCCCAGCGGGGAGGCAGAGAGAGCCACCCCCTGCGAGGCCCCCCAACCCGCGGTGGGTGAGCCGGGGCCGGGGGACGACGGACACCCCACAGCCGAGACGAGGTGAGGGGCTGGGGCGCGAGCTTGCGGGGCCGGGGGGCGTTGTTCCGCGTCATCCTGAGGACGGGAATAACGGAGCCGAGCTCCGGTGGCCACCGTGGGAAGGATGGGGCCACGCCGGCGGCTTGTGCCGACCACAGGAACGAGCTGTCCCGGTTGAGGAGCTGCCTGCGCGCCTTCGGGGGCCGGGCCTGGAGCCAGCCCGGCTCCCGCGGCTGGACAGCGCTGCCGGAGGCTGGGAATAACGGGGAGAGGGTCGCTCCCCTCGGGAATCGCTCCCTGTTTCCCGGGCGGCCTGTTCGGGCCGTGCCAGGGCGGCTCCGCTGCAGGATGTGCTGGGTGGGAGCCAGCGCTTGGCCCCGCTCCCGGAGCCGGGCATCTCCAGGGAGCAGGACCCGGCTATTTTAAACCCCGGTGTGAGAAACGGGCTCTCCCGGGACCGAGAATTCCCGGGAAACAGGAGCGGGGCCGATTACCCCCCCCTTTCCCCCCCGCGGTGGTTCGGTGTCGGGTCTGGCGCAGGCTGCGGGGCCTCCTGCGGGTCCCCAGCCCCATCCCGCAGCCGGGGGCAGGGGCGCAGGGGGGGAATTAACGCTCGTTCCCCGTTTGTCCGGCAGCGGCTCCCCCCCCGCCGGCCCGAGCAGCGCCGGGGCCCCCCGCGGACGCCGGAGGCCGCGCTCCCCCCCTGACGTGAGTTGTGGCCGCGCCCGCCCGGCCGCGGCGGCTCCGCTCTCTCCTTCGGGGCTCTCCTGTCTCCTCCGGGGCTCCCTCTCCGCGCGGTGCGTGTCTGCGGCCCTGCGCCGCCTGCTCGGGGGGGCGGTGCGAGGCGTGACTCACCGCGGGGGGGCGGCGGGGCAGGACCGGCCCCGGGGCTCCCGCCGGCCCCCGCCGGCCGGCACCACCCCGCGCGGGCAGCAGCGGGCAGGGTGATGCTGGCAAGGGGGTGCTGGGAGCCAGGGCTGGGTTTTCCTGCTCCTGCTTCAGTTCTTCCTCTCCATCTGCTGGGAAGGGGGGGGGTGTGCTCGGGGGGGGATCCGGCACGGCCGGGTCCTGCCAGACAGGGAGCATCTGGGTGCTGGGGGGAAGTGGGGCAGCTCCTGCCTCGAGGGAGTGGGGGGCAGACCCTCACCGGGCCTCGGGGCTGTGATTTGGGGGTGATACCCGGAGGCTCCTCTGGGTGACGTGCCCCCACCGCCTCTCTCCACAGCTCTCCTCTCCACAGTTGGGCCCCCCCGGCTCTCCCAGGCCCCCGTCCTGCCCAGTGCTGGCCCCGGGGGCTCCCTCCCAGCCCTGCACTGCAGCCCCCGGCTCCCCCCATGCCCCCCCCGAGCTCCTGGCCCCTGGCTCCCCCACACGGGCCCCCGGCTCCCCCGAATCACAGCCTCCAGCCAGGGTCTCGGCTGCCTCCATCCAGGCTCCAGGGGCTCCCTCCTCCACAGCTGAGCCTCAGCTCAGCATCTCCCGCTCCCCCGGCTCTCCCCACACGCCTGGAGAGGGGTCCCCCGATACAGCCACCCCCCCAGGCACCCCCGAGCTGCCCCTCAGGGCCATCAGCCCCCCCAGCACTCCCGAGCTGCCCCCCAGGGCCATCTATCCCCCCGGCTCTCCGGAGGCTGCTGTCCAGTACCCGGCCTCCCCCAGCCCACCCCCCGAGCCCCTGGGTAAAGTCTCTCGCCCCCCGGGCTCCCCTGAGGGACCCCATGACCCCCCAGTGTCCCCACTGTCCCCTGAGGGTCCCAACTTCAGCCCCGCTCCCCCCTGCAGGGACTCGGGGCTGCGGCGCTCATCGGAGGGGGTGCTGCAGCCCCCACCTGCGGGGCAGGGCCTGGGGGGGCTGGGGGGCTCGCTGGGTGCCCTGCCCCGGCCTGGGGACCCGCTGCCGGAGCCGGCCCTGGGCAGTGAGTCCGGCTGGAGCCTCTCCCAGTCCTTCGAGTGGACGTTCCCAGGACGGGGGGCCCGGCGGGTCCCATCCCCTCCCCGCTCCCCGATCCGGGAGACGGGTGACTCGGACGGGGAGGACCCGGCCCCCAGAGCCGCTGAGCCCGGCCCCCGCGGAGCAGAGGGGGCCCCGTGTCCGGGGGGCCCTGTGGCCCAGGCAGAGGCTGAGAGCTCGCCGGAGGAGGATGATGATGGGGAGGCAGAGCAGGACGTGACACTGTGCGTGACAGAGCCTGGCCAGGACCCAGCTGAGCCCGAGCCCCTCATCGAGGCCGCCCCACCGGCTCCGGCCCCACCGGCTCCAGCCACGGTGACCGGCTCGGTGTGGGCACCGGAGGGCGACTCTGAACTGAGCCTGCAGGGCCCCGGCGGGCCGGGCCAGGCCGGAGGGTCCCCAAGGAGCCGCGATGCGCCCGGTGACCCGGGCTGGCTGACGGAGCTGTTGGCATCGCCCGGAGGCCACACAGGACAGGGCACGGAGGTGAGAGACCCGCAGCTCCGCAGTGCAAGGGTTAACACGGCACCGTGTCAGTCTGGCGTGCGTGGCGCCTGGCTCCTGTACGTGGGTTGGGATGGGATGGGATGGGATGGGATGGGTCAGGATGGGTGGAGGCTGAGCTGAGCGTGCTGCAGGGAGAGCCGGGGTGCGGCCGCCGCGTGTGGGAGCCATGGCCGGCGAGTCGGGGCCCACGGCCACGCTGCGGCGGCTGCTGACCAACCTGGAGCTGCGGGAGCAGCTGCGGGATTGGCGGCGGGATGAGCCGGGCTGGGGAGGGCTCTGGGCAGGCACAACGGCCGTGAGTACCAGGGCAGCTGGCAGCTCCCGGTGGGAATGGGGCCCCGCGGGGCAGGGCGGGCGGGTGATGGGATCTGGGCTCTCTTCGGGATGGGCCCCTGCTTGTGCCCCGGGCACCCAAGGGGCCCTCCCTGTGGCTGCACCTCCCCAGCTTCTCTCTGCCGCTGAGCTGGGACTGAGACCCCCGCTTAGCCCCTATCCTGTCCCTGCCCAGGGCCTGCTCGGCTGGTCACGAAAGGACCTGAGCAGTGAATTCGGCATCGGCACCCCCCGCCCCGGCAGCACCTTCCGCTGGACCCGAGAGACAGACTGGCCCCGGGAGCCACAGCAGGACCAGGAGTTCGGGACCGAACAGAGCTGGGGCAGCACCGGGGCCGGGGAGCAGCCCTTCGGCACCAGCAGGAGCGACTGGGCCAGCAGCTGCCGAGGGACGGAGCTGCCAGGAGACGCGGGGCTGGGCCGCAGCGACTGGCACAAAGCCCCTGGCACTGGGGAGAGCTGCCGGCAGGAACAGGACTTCAGTGCCAGCAAACCCACGTGGGGCACCAGCTACGGCTTGGACAGCACTGGCAGCGGGGACGGGATCGGCTCCGGGAGCGCCGACTGGAGCAGCAGTTACAGTGTGGGGGGAGCCCAGCACCAGGATGAGGAGCTGAGCTCCAGGCAGCCCAGCTGGGCTGGCAAGTACAGCGCTGGGGATCCGGAGAGCCAGGACCAGGACATCACACCGGCCTGGGCTGGCCAGTACGGCTCCAGGGATCCAGAGATGAAGGACAGGGAGCTAAGCCCAGACTGGACCAGTAAATACAGCAGCAGGGGTGCTGGGACCATGGACAAGGATCTCACCCTGGGCTGGGCTGGCAGATCCAGCACTGGGGACGCTGGGGCTGCAGGCAGAGAGTTCAGCCCCAGCAGGACGGCCTGGGATAGCCAATACAGCAGCAGGGACATGGAGAGCCAGGACCGGGAGTTCAGCCCCAGCAGACCTGCTTGGACTGGTGAATGCAGCACCCAAGGCACGGAGAGCCAGGACAGGGAGTTCAGCTTCAGCAGGCCGGCGGAGGGTGATGGGTACAGCAGCAGGGACATGGAGAATCAGGACCGGGAATTCAGCCCCAGCAGACCGGCCTGGGAGGACAGATACAGCACCAGGGACATGGAGAGCCAGGACCAGGAGTTCAGCCCCAGCAGGCCTGCTTGGACCAGTGAATGCAGCACCAGGGACATGGAGGACCAGGCCTGGAAATTCTGCCCTGGCAGACCAGCCTGGGACAGCGAGTACAGCAGCAGGGACGTAGAGAACCAGGAGAGAGAGTTCAGCTCCAGCAGATCAGCCAAAGCTAGTGAGGGCAGCACCAGGGATGTAGAGAGCCAGGATGGGGAGTTCAAACCCAGCAGACCAGCCTGGGAGGACAGGTACAGCACCAGGGATGTGGAGAGCCTGGACCAGTTCAGTCCCAGCAGACTGGCTGAGCCTGATGGATACAGCACCAGGGACGTGGAGATGCAAGACAGGGAGTTCAGCCCTGCCAGACCAGCCAAAGCCAGTGAGCACAGCATCGGGGCCATGGAGACCTCAGACAGGGAGCTCAGCCCCAGCAGATTGGCTTGGGATGATCAACGCAGCACCAGGGATGTGGAGACTTGGGACGAGGAGCTCAGCCCTGGCAGACCAACCAAAGCCAGTGAGTGCAGCACCAGGGACATGGAGAGCCAGGACAGGGAGTTCAGCCTGGCCTGTGAGGACAGATACAGCACCAGGGACTTGGAGAGCCAGGACAGCGGGTTCAAACCCAACAAACCAACCTGGGATGATGAGCACAGCACCAGGGACATGGAGAGCCAGGAGCAGGAGCTCATCCCCAGCAGAGCAGCTGAGGCTGATGGATACAGGAGTAGGGACATGGAGAGCCAGGGCCTGGAGCTCAGCCCTGGCAGCCTGACCTGGGCCGGTGAGTGCAGCTCTGCAGACACCAGAGAGGAAGGGAGCGAGGTCAGGCCTGGCCACGACACCGACCAAACAGAGCCAGTGGATGCTGCTGCCGATGGGAGGGAGCTGCCCAGCTCCCACTGCCCCGATCCCCCATCCCAGGATCCTGGCTGTGGCAGCGCTGAGCACAGTGCCGCTGGCAGCAGGGACTGGGCTGAGGAGCCTGGAGCAGCCGAGCGCCACAGCCAGTTCAGCAGCATCAGCACAGAGCAGGACCTGGGTCCCTCCAGCGCCGCGGTGTCCACCGGTGGCTTCATGCCCTGGGCGGGTGTGATGGGAGCCCCAGGGTACCGGCACCATGATGACTCCTGCGGCACGTCGGGAGGAGCCGGCCTGCAGGAGCGCGGCTGCGGTGATGCAGAGGCCCAGCGCCGGGAATGGGCTGATGCGTTCAGCGCCCGCTGCGCCGCGCGGAGCCGGGACGTGGGCGAGCGGCACCTGGGAGGTGACACCAGCTCCAGGCACAGGTAGGGGGGTGCTGGTGGCGGCAGCGCGGCCCCTGGGAAGGCTCCGTCCCCTCGGGTGTCCTCACTGTGCTGTGGGGGGGCTCCCAGTGCCACAGCCCTGTGCTGGTGTCCTGCCCAAGCTCCGGCTCCTCCTGTGTCCCCGTAGCCCCCTGCCCCACAGCTGCAGCAGGAACATTTTGGGGAATGGATTTCACCTTGTCCTGGCAGGATCTGCCACTGTGAGCTGATCCGAGAGGGGACGATGCCTTCTGGGCATCTCCCTCTGACGTGGGGAGCTGTGTGCAAGGTGCTGATGTTCCTCTGGGCCCCCGGAACTGGCACAATTATCCCTGTGCCCTTATTGCTTCACTGGGATGTGGGAACCCTGATTCCAGGCAACTTACAGAGCTGGGGAATCCCAGATGATAAATTCCCTCAGGCTGCCTGAAAACAGGGATTGCAGGAAGTGGGAAGTGAAGTCCCATGGGCCAGGGGAAGGCTTCAGCCTGGCTGACTGTGTGGAGCGTGGGGAGCTCCCCTGGGAGCTGTGTGGTTTCCTACACCCTGGGTGCCTTGTGCTCCTGCTCCTGGTCACCCCGTGTCCCTCTGGTCCTGCTGGGGCTGGTGGCCCTCTTGGGGGTCTGACCCCTTTTTCTGTCCCAAGGAGGGGAGATCACCCTGGTCCCCTGTGAGCCTGGCAGCCTCCCTGCCCTCCTCAGGCCTTGGAAAGGGCTTTGGGAACTTCCCAGAGTTCCTCTTGGTGTGATGTCCTGGGAGAGAGGGAACAGGCCTGGACAGCCGGGTCCTGCCCTGCTCAGTGGGGCAGGGGAGGGTTTGTGCTGGAGCTGGAGGAACCCGAGGGTCTCATCTCTCCCAGCAGCAGCGTTGGTCTCTGGGACCCCAGCCTGCAGATGGGTGACCCCCCGGCCGTGGGGTCCCCCTGCACCGACCCGCCCAGCCCTGCAGAGGAGGAGAGGGACCCTCTGGAGCTGACCCCTGCCCCGCGGAGCCCTGGGGCCTCCTCTCCGCTGCCAGAGGCTGTTGGCGGGACCCCACTGGACACAGGGAGTGCAGCAGTCCCCGAGGACCACCCGGATGGCAAGAGACCTTCCAGCTGGGAGGAGAAGTGGCTCCCCATGGGCACCCCACATCCCGAGGCACCCCCGGACCTCACCGGGCAGGAATTCACCTTCCTGGAGGTGAGGGGGGTGGCAGCACCAGCCACGTGTATGGCCTTGGGGGTCCCTCACAGAGACTCTGCTCTGTGGATGGGGCTTCACCCTCCGGGCCTCCTGTCCCCGAGGGCCAGGCTGCGGATTCGGGGTCCCTGGTGCCATTGTGGGGCTCTGCGGGTGCCGGTGCTGGCGCTGACCCTTCCCCTGTGCCGCGCAGGACGCGGAGGTGCTGGACAGCCGCGTGTTCCGCAGCAAGGCCGAGCTGGGCCGGCAGCGCAGGCACCGGGCCCCAGCGCTGCGCCCCGCCGCCGGCCCGGAGGGGGACGCTTGGCTCTTCCGTGACTCCACCGGTGAGGCCCGAGGGGCGGGGGGCGGGCGGGGGCGGGCGGTGCTGAACTGACCCTGTCCGTGCGCAGAGCCCCGGCCGGCGGCGCCCGAGGACGAGGCGGCGGTGGAGCCCCGGAGCCGGCGGGCGGGCAGGGCCGGGAAGGTGCCGCTGTTCCCCAGCCTCAGCGCGGCCGCGCTCAAGGTGAGGGCTCCCCGGTGGTGGGGACCGGGGGAACGGAGGCGGGGAGCACCCGGAGCCCACCCGGACCTCCCTGTCTGCCCCCAGGCCAAGCTGAGGGGCCGGAACCGCTCGGCCGAGGAGGGGACCCCGCCGGGGGACAGCAAAGTGACCCCCCCCCGGGAGCCCCATGTGCAGCGCTCCAAGTCCTGCAAGATCCCCGGCCTGAGTGGGAAACCCCTGGTGCTGCCCCCCAAACCAGAGAGGTCCTCGGGGTGAGAGCCGGGGTGGCAGGTTTGGGGGGTGGTGTGCAGGTTTGGGAAGTACGTGCACCCACAAGCACTGCGGGTGCTGGGGGGATGCTGAAGGGTGGGGGTCGGGGTGGCTGTCACTCACTTTGGTGCTCCAGCAGGGGTTTGGGGGAGCCCTGAGGGTGGGTTTTGCAGAGGTGTGAGGGGGCTTGGGGGTGCCTGAGGGACCATGGGGGGTGCTGGGGCTCCTGAGGGGGTACCAGCAGTGATTTTGGGGCCCTCACACCGTGCCCACCCCTCCAGGTCCGAGGTCTCCCCCCCCCACTGGCTGCAAGCGCTGAAGCTGAAGAAGAAGAAACCTTGAGGGGGGTGAGTGCAGGAGCTGGGGGGACACTGGGGACAGACACTCCCCCCCCGACCCCTCCCCACACCCCTCCTGAGTTCCAGGGGTCTGGAGGGGAAGTGGCGGCATTGCAGGGGTAGGAGCGTGTCCCCATGTCCCTGGGTCCTTGCTGCCAGGAGGGGTGCCCCCCCCACGTCCCTCCTACACCAGCCGGGACCCCCCTCCCTAGCACTGGATCCCCTAGGGGTGCCTCACCCCCTCTTCCCGCTGTCTTTTCCAGGCTCCCCCTCGCCGGCCGCTGCCCCCGGATCAGGACACACACACACACACACATATCTATGCACTTTGTACCATGCTCGCAGGGTCCCTGACCCCCACCCCACACCTCATCCCCCTCCTCAGCCCCCCAGCTCCCCCCCCCCAAGCCGTGGGGTGGGCTGTGTCCCTCGCCCTGCTCCTGTGTCACCCCCGCACAACGAGCAGCAGGTCAGGATGTTGGTGCCACTTGAACAGGACAATAAAACTTCTCTGGTTGGGTCGGGGGGGCCTGGCTCTTCCCTCAGCGCCCCCCGGTGTCCCCTTGGGGGGTGTCCGCTTGCGGGGTGGCCCTGGGCTGCGGGGCCGCCTCTGCGGGCGCTGCCACCAGGAGGAGCTCCGTGCCCGCGCTGGGCCTGCCCAAGGCGGGGGGCTGCGCGGTGCTGCGACACCAAGATGGGGGTCCCCGGCCCCACGGCTGTGCGGGGGCTCCGGCTCCCATGGGGCAGCCCCCGCCCCACACCCGGCGATGGGGTCTGAGCCGGGGAACCTGGCGGCTGCTCCATGGGCTCGGCCTCCCCCTGGCAAAGCCTCGCTCCCCGAGCCCTGGGTCCATCCTGGAGCCGCGGCCAAGTCTCGGCTTCTTCCCCTCCACCGCTCCCGCGGGCCTGGCTCCCTGGAGCCGCTGCTGCGGGCGGTGCTCCCTGCTGCCCCGGCTCGTGGCGCTTCCCGTACCGGCGTTCGTGACCCGGTACCAGCCCGCAGGGGCAGCCCCGGCCGCTGCACGAACCACCCCGGGGGGGGGGGGGGTGTGACCGGGGCTCTGTGTCCCCCCCGCGCCGGCCTCGCCGGCGGCTCTTGTGCGGGGCCGGGAAGCGTTAAGTGCGCTCTGCGCTCCCCACCGGGACGGGAGGAACCGGGCTCGGTGTTAACGGCGAGCAGCTCCTTCGCGGCGGCACCGGGGGGGTCATTTCCCTGTTGTGGCCCGTTCTGCGGCTGAGGGGCCCCGGGAACGGCTCCCCCAGCGCCGGGGGGGGGGGTGTCAGGGCCCTTCTTCCTTCCTCAAACCTCGGCTTTTAACTTCAGCCCGCAGCCGCCGCAGCTCGCACCGCGGGTGATGGGGCCCGGCCAAGCTCATCCCGGTCCTCCGCAGGCGTCAGTGCCCGTTATCTCCTCAGTGCCCGTTATCAGCCGCCGGTGCTCCTTATCTCCGGTTATCTCCACCCCATCACCCCTGGTTTTCCCTGCCCGGCTGCTGCCGCTGGGTCCCCTTTGGGCGCTGCTTTGGTTCCTCCGAGGTCCCGCGCCCCCATTCCCCAGCCCCAGTCTCTCCCGCACCCCTCGGTTTCTATTCCCGGAGACCCCTTTGAGCTCCCCCCACTTTCCCGGGAAGCCGGGATCCGCGCTCCGCTCGGTTTCAGCCGTTCCCACTCCTGGTCCCCCCCCGTGCCCCCGTTCCAACACCAAACGGCGCCTCCGCGCTCCAGCCCCGGCTCCCCCCGGCTTTTCCCACCCCCCCGGGGCCCTCGTGGCTTTCACACTTCCCCTCCTGCCGCGTTCCCCCGGGGCTGTCCCCAGAGCTGGAACCGGGAGGGCTCAGTCCCGGTGGGGCAAGGCGGCTCCATGGGCGGTGGGAGCGCCCCTCCCGCTCCTGCCCGGGGGCGTTCGGTCCGGCCCAGCTGCAGCTGCTCCGGCTGCGGCACCGGGCAGCGGGTCCCGGAGCATCGGCAGCTCCCGACCTCCTCCGGTCCCGCGCACACGGGGGGGGCCGCTCCCCCCTCGGTTTCGGTGAACGCTCCCAGCGCCTCGGGCGGAGCCGGGAGCGTTTGCAGAGCGCCAAACGCCCAACACCAAACAAACACCAAACGCTCCCTGCAGCATCCAAACGCCAGAGGGTCCCAAATGCAAAACACCAAATGCAAACACCCCCTCCCGCACAGCACCCGGCCGCCAACCCCCAGTGTGGGACCTGGCGCGATACCCCGAAGCTGACCCCCCAGGTGCACGTTTGGGCTTCGCTGGTAGAGCCGGGTCCCCCACACCCCACCGGGGCTCCTTCCCCGCCCCGGTCCCCCCCCCCGGGTGCTGTTGGGGCGCCCGGAGCCGCGTTCTCTGCCCCCGGGGCCGGTGTTTGACACTTGGGTGCGAGCTGGAGCAGCCCCCAGGAAGGAGCCGGAGCGGGAGGGGGAGCTGTGAAATTTCCCACGGGGCTCCCCCCATCCGCCCCCCCCGCCCTTCCCATCCCATCCCATCCCGGAGGGCGGAGGAGGAGGAGGAGGAAGGGGAGGTAACGTGGGGGGGATGCGCTGGGCCGGGCTCAGAGGGCCGGAGGAGCTCGGTGAGCACGGGATGAGCTGAGCCCACCCAGCCCAGGCCGGCGGCATGGAGGAGGCGACGGAGGCCTATGCCTATGGGGACAACGACACAGAGTGCGAGTACGAGGAGTGGGGCCCCTCGCTGGCGCTGCTGCCCACCATCTACCTGCTGGTGTTCCTGCTGGGCACGGTGGGCAACGGGCTGGTGCTCTGGACCGTCTTCAAGGGCGGGCAGGACCGGCGGCGCTCGGCAGACACCTTCATCGCCAACCTGGCCGCCGCCGACCTCACCTTCGTGGCCACGCTGCCGCTGTGGGCTGCCTACGCCTGGCTGGGCTACCACTGGCCCTTCGGCACGGCCGCCTGCAAGGTCAGCAGCTACCTGGTGTTCGTCAACATGTACGCCAGCGTCTTCTGCCTGACGGGGCTGAGCTTCGACCGCTACCTGGCCATCGTGCGGCCGCTGGCCACGGCCAAGCTGCGCTCCCGGGTCAGCGGGCTCGTGGCCACCGTGGCCCTGTGGGTGCTGGCGGCGCTGCTGGCGCTGCCTGCCCTGGTGCTGCGGCGCGCGGCCGCGCTCGGTGGGGACACCAGGATCACCTGCTACATGGACTACGGGGGCCTGGCGGCGCCGGGCACCGAGGGGGCCTGGGAGGTGGGTCTGGGGCTCTCCTCCACCGCGCTCGGCTTCGTGGCCCCCTTCGCCGTCATGCTGACCTGCTACTTCTTCATCGCCCGCACCGTGGCCAGCCACTTCCACCGGGAGCGCGCCGAGGGGCCCCGCAAGCGCAAGCGCCTCCTCACCATCATCACGGTGCTGGTGGCCGCCTTCGGGGGCTGCTGGCTGCCCTTCCACCTGGTGAAGACCCTGTACGTGCTGATGGACCTGGGCGTGCTGCCCTGGTCCTGCGGCCTCCACACCTTCCTCAGCAACCTGCACCCCTACTGCTCCGGCATCGCCTACATCAACAGCTGCCTCAACCCCTTCCTCTACGCCTTCTTCGACCCCCGGTTCCGCCGTGCCTGCGCCGCGCTCCTGTGCTGCCGCCCCCCCGGGCCCGGCACCGAGCGCTCCGGCAGCTACTCCTCGGGGCAAGGGGGCAAGGGGGCGGCGGCGCCGGGGGGCAAACTGGACCCCGCCACCCAGGAGACGCTGTTCCGTGCCTGAGCCCGCCCCGGTGCCCCCCGAGCTGGTCTCCTTGGGGGGACCCCACCGCCTCCTCCTGCCCCGGAGCCTGGCTTGCTCTGGGGTCCTGCTGCTGGGAAGGGAAAGCTGCGGCAGGGGCTGGGCAGAGCCCCCGGGGGGCTCAGGCAGCGGCGCCCTCAGCCCTCCCCCCCCCCCCCAGCACCCGCCGGGCTCGGGATTTTGTGACAAATAAATGGATTTTGGTTAAAAAAGGAGCAGGGTGTTTGTGCGGATCGATGGGGAGTGGGGTCGGGGGTGGCGGGGGGAGCAGCGTTGGGGGGTGGCTGGGTTGTACGGTCTGGGGGGGGGAGGTTGTGGGGGGGTGTGTGCACCATGGAGTGCCCCTGTGTGTGTGTGTGTGCACCGTGGGATGTCCCTGTGTGTGTGTGTGTGTGTGTGTGCACCAGGGGTGTCCCTGTGTGTGTGTGTGTGCACCAGGGGTGCCCCTGTGTGTCTGTGTGTGTGCACCAGGGGTGCCCCTGTGTGTGTGTGCACCAGGGGTGTCCCTGTGTGTGTGTGTGTGCACCGTGGGGTGTCCCTGTGTGTGTGTGTGTGCACCGTGGGATGTCCCTGTGTGTGTGTGTGTGTGCACCGTGGGGTGTCCCTGTGTGTGTGTGTGTGCACCAGGGGGTGTCCCTGTGTGTGTGTGTGTGTGCACTGTGGGGTGTCCCTGTGTGTGTGTGTGTGCACCGTGGGGTGTCCCTGTGTGTGTGTGTGTGCACCGTGGGATGTCCCTGTGTGTGTGTGTGTGTGCACCAGGGGTGACCCTGTGTGTGTGTGTGTGCACCGTGGGATGTCCCTGTGTGTGTGTGTGTGTGTGTGCACCAGGGGTGACCCTGTGTGCGTGTGTGTGTGCACCAGGGGTGACCCTGTGTGCGTGTGTGTGTGCACCAGGGGTGTCCCTGTGTGTGTGTGCACCAGGGGTGTCCCTGTGTGTGTGTGTGTGCACCGTGGGGTGTCCCTGTGTGTGTGTGTGTGTGCACCGTGGGATGTCCCTGTGTGTGTGTGTGTGCACCAGGGGTATCCCTGTGTGTGTGTGTGTGTGCACCAGGGGTGCCCCTGTGTGTCTGTGTGTGTGCACCAGGGGTGCCCCTGTGTGTGTGTGTGTGTGTGTGCACCGTGGGGTGTCCCTGTGTGTGTGTGTGTGCACCGTGGGGTGTCCCTGTGTGTGTGTGTGTGCACCAGGGGTGTCCCTGTGTGTGTGTGTGTGTGCACCAGGGGTGACCCTGTGTGCGTGTGTGTGTGCACCAGGGGTGTCCCTGTGTGTGTGTGTGTGCACTGTGGGGTGTCCCTGTGTGTGTGTGTGTGTGCACCGTGGGATGTCCCTGTGTGTGTGTGTGTGCACCAGGGGTGTCCCTGTGTGTGTGTGTGTGTGCACCAGGGGTGCCCCTGTGTGTCTGTGTGTGTGCACCAGGGGTGCCCCTGTGTGTGTGTGTGTGTGTGTGCACCGTGGGGTGTCCCTCTGTGTGTGTGTGTGTGTGTACCAGGGGTGCCCCTGTGTGTGTGTGTGTGCACCAGGGGTGTCCCTGTGTGTGTGTGTGTGCACCAGGGGTGTCCCTGTGTGTGTGTGTGTGTGCACCAGGGGTGACCCTGTGTGCGTGTGTGTGTGCACCAGGGGTGCCCCTGTGTGTCTGTGTGTGTGTGTGTGCACCATGGAGTGCCCCTGTGTGTCTGTGTGTGTGCACCAGGGGTGTCCCTGTGTGTGTGCACCGTGGGATGTCCCTGTGTGTGTGTGTGTGCACCAGGGGTGCCCCTGTGTGTCTGTGTGTGTGCACCAGGGGTG